ACACAGGCTAGTCAAAGAGCTGCTTCGCATCTAAAAAAGCTACTGGGTTTTCCTGGAGGATTACTTGTCACCACCAGCTCTTTGGGAACTCCGTCCAGGAAAAAGGTTGCATGCACCGGCGTGCCGAAATTCCAGAGCATCGATTGCACAATACAGAGCTCATGGAATCACTCGCGAGACGAGCAGGTAGTCGGAACCGAGAGGGAAACGTAGGCCATGGCATTCTTAGTGACAATATCCTAGAGGCGTCAACAATTGCTTTCTTGGCTTGCATGGTCTTGAATTGGCCTGGCATTGGCTCTGTAGGGTCCGAAATGATGAGCTGGTTTGTGAAGTACGGCAAAGATGGGTTAGGATGTCGTCGTCCTTGAGGAACAACGAGGTCTGAAAATGACTCATCTCAGGGTTTGTTGGCCAAACACACCAGATAAGGACGCCCCTATCTGCGTGGTAATGCAATGGAACTGGGAAAAACATGCGCTTCGGAAGTGCCTCATCAAAGGGGGCGGCAAAGCAAACGCTGCATATGTCTGAGAGATCACCGAGCAATCGGTGGGTAGGAGTTCTTGCAGGTGACGGTGCTCGGACAGGACCATGTGCTCCAGCGTACTGGCCTTGACAGTGTGGAAGGATGCAGAGGAGTGGTCAGAAGGCCCCGCACTTACAGAGCAATATCACTAAGGGCAGCTAATACGTGGGAGCCTGCTGAGAGGTTCCGTGCGAGGCCTTGGATGTTGCCTGCACTTGATGGATATCAGTTCTGTATGGCGGAATTTCGTTGACGTAACGTGCTACAGGTGCGTAGCATCGGCGTCAGACTGAGCATTCGAAACACTGTCAGAGGATAAGCTTGTGTTATTGGCCCGAGTCACCATTACGTCGTGCAATCAGGAGACACCGAAATACGACCTTCCCACTTCTTTTCCATCGCCGCTTTCTGTTTTCTTTACAACACCCAGCGCGTCCTTCTGTGGTCATGGAGCGCGTCGTGGCCATGCTTCACGAAAACGTGATAATATTCCGTCTTGACGACGCCACGAGTGTTGGCGATTTGCGACATCACGAGAACGACATATGTTGCAGTGCTTCGTGACGTCATGAGGCGCTCAGAAAACGAGAATCTTGGCGTGCACATGCAGTTCGTTCTCTTAAGCATTACGTCATTTTTGACCGGCTTTTATTTTTTAGCTTATTTATTTTTAGTACCGACACCACCGACCTGGTCTCGCGAAGTGTCATCGGGTCTTGCCAAATCTCGCAGACTCATGATACATGTAAGGACTTAAAATGAAGACAGTATTACGGGGGCGTCGTTGTTTTCCCGCTTTTGTGGTGTTTTACGCGCAATTTTGCACGTTCGTAGCGAAAAAAGTCTGAGCCCCATTGACCGTATGTTACTTATATGATAACTGGTTAATGTCGGCTCCATCTTCACTCTCTAATGCAAAATAGGGAGAAGATCGATAGTATTGTGTAGGACTGTCAGTTTACGGCAGTTTCTCTTCTGTTATTGCGGCCAACGTTAGTCTAATTTCTGCGCAGACTTGAGCTCGTGTTGCCAGAAGAGGTTATTTATATCGCGCCCCGTCCCATTCTATGCGAACAGAGTCGATATCAGCGGCGGCTGATCTGGCGGTGACAGCAGCGATTAGCCCCTCTCGTAATTAGCCACACCACTATGCCGCAAAAATATCTCGCGCTAGGGAGGTCGCAAAATTGCGCTGTTAGAAGCAGACGCCCAGTTACCATTTTGCAACGAACCTTAAGAAGCTTCACTTCATGAACTTACTCTATTGCTTTTATGCAAGCGTCCACACCATTCGGCATGTTCTATCAATAAGTTGGGAAAAAATAACGAAGCGGATATTCTATAGCTCTTATTAAGAAGAGAAAATAGACCTGCCTTGACAATTCTCGTTAGAACAAAATAAAAAGAAAACAGAGGTTATGTTAGGGCAATCGAATAGATGCGAGAATAAATGCGTTCAAGCGCAAGAGGCTGTTTGCTCTGCATTGAGGCGCAGCGCATCACGCGGCAGTACTGAATTATTCAAGGCAGATGTCGTGTTTTACGAGACACAGTGGGTGGTGCCGATGGCGTAAAATGCTACAGGCTGGTGTAATGCGTGACGCCAGGGCGTGTTGAACAACTACAGATGCTGGAAGTGCTCCGAGCCCTTTACTATACGACGGGCCTAGTACCATAACGCAGTTTCGACGCGTAAAATTCCACATGTTATTATTAATATAGTGAATAATTACCTTCAATAAACCCCTTTACAATTATCATTATTATTATTATTACTATTGTTGTTGTTGTTGTTGTTGTTGTTGTTGTTGTTGTTGTTGTTGTTGTTGTTGTTGTTGTTGTTGTTGTTGTTGTTGTTGTTGTTGTTGTTGTTGTTGTTGTTGTTGTTGAACCACCAAGAAGCCGAATTTAAAACACTATTGTAGCCCCGCCGTGGTGGTCTAGTGGCTAAGGTACTCGGCTGCTGACCCGCAGGTCGCGGGCTCGAATCCCGGCTGCGGCGGCTGCATTTCCGATGGAGGCGGAAATGTTGTAGGCCCGTGTGCTCAGATTTGGGTGCACGTTAAAGAACCCCAGGTGGTCGAAATTTCCGGAGCCCTCCACTACGGCGTCTCTCATAATCATATGGTGGTTTTGGGACGTTAAACCCCACATATCAATAAAAACACTATTGTACTACATTTATTTCGTCACCCTCTTCTAGGCTCCTCCATCTTGCATGTACGGAAGTCACTTGCGTCGTAAAGCGTAGCTGTGCACTTTTACCTTGAAGAATTCAACCCGGCCGCCAGTTATTCCATAGTCCATGGCATGCATCTCTTTGTCTCGTGTCGTCCGCTCACTTCCTTGATAGAGAGAAGCACGGGTGACGAGAAGGAATGGTTATATATAGGCGCAGTGGCGAAACTAAAAAAATTCAAAAAGGTTGAGTTTGAAGATCACTGGGAGCCGCCTTGTTCTTCCAAATGATGATGAAGGCAGCATGCCGTACACCTACGAAGAACCAGATGGTCGCGAAAGAACCACGCTAAGTCGAACGAAACACAAAACGAAGAGTGCTGTCTCGTGGGTTAATTAGAAACTTCTTCTAACAGCGGTTGCGCTTGTGAATAAAGACTGCGAAAAGGCACGCGGACACTCAGGCAGAAGCGTTTACAGCAACTTGTTTTTATTGACCCGATAAGCTATAACCTACTTGCGTAGGGTGACCGATCTTTCCGATTAAAAACTGAGAGGGTGCCGGAAAAATTATCGTGTTCCTTTGGTGCTATGCGCAGGAGTGGTATGCAGTTTATCCCCTAGATGTCGTGGGTATACAACCAGAACGTAGCGTGGTGCGCCTGTCCACACATTTCAAAGGCTGCGGCTGTTCACATTTACACTCAAAATGTGGCACAATCAGCTGCAACAAAGATACGTGCACTGGGCAGCTCACGGAAGCGAACACCATGATTAACGAAGGAGCGCAACGTGTCAGCACGCCATCAATTGTGTTATCAGAAGAACCGGTCTTCCTGAATTCGCCAATGTGTTGAAGCTGTCAAGCAGCCGAAAAGCGATGTTTATAAGTAGGGCAGATTTTCACTGAAACCCATTAAAGAACCCCAGGTGGTCGACATTTCCGCAGTTTTCCGCGACGGCATCTCTCATAATCATACCGTGGTTTTGAGATGCCAAACACTAACACTTAATATTATTACATTGCTAAATTACAACTTATTAATTTTCGAGATATGGGCACACGCGACCGTCAGGAAAGAGAAAAACATGATCTCTCGTCCACAAACGCATGCTGCAAGTATCACCTGGAGGTCGAGAAACCTTTTTGCGGAAAGGATAGCATGCCAGCACAGTCGTTATTAACGGAGCTTCGACGATTTCTGCCTCAGCCACGATCCCTGCAGCGGATACTTGTTAACTGCGTAGTGTACGATGTAGTAGTTGAGTTCTTCGCGCATTTTGATTCTGTGCTATTCCACCGAGCACGCTCGAACAAAGCTGTCTAATTAAACAGTGTTAGAATAGGTTTCGTGTACTGCCAGTGTTGCTCGCTTGTGCACACCGTTTTCGAAATATTGTGAGTGGACTCAAAAGCTTAGCGTATGATGCTTGTGCAGTGGTGGCAAGCGCAAAGCATTGCATACCCTATTCTAAAACTGCAGCATGGTTTCACGTTTGAGTCGTTTCAATAAAAGGGCATGGTGCAGTGCTTCTGTTTTGTGCCTGCTAGAGGGTCACTGCAGTGCAGATTAAAAGTTCATGGATCCCGTCACCAACATGTGTGTACCGACAAATTGCAATAAGACATAGAGAATAAAAAGAACAAGTGAAGTGTGCTAAGAAAACAGAAACATTCAATGGCCGTTGCCAGTTTCATTGGCAGAGCTATAGCGAACCTGAATGGTACTGCCTTATTTCTAAATCAAGCGCACAAATCCGCAGACTTGGCATGTCCTGCGACAGTGCTCAGTAAAGCCTTCTCGACATGCAGTCGATCAAATGGCTGCAAAAGCAATGTGTGTAACGACCATCAAATACTCGTTGTTGAGAGTGCACTTCGAAAAAACGCGTGGATGCGTTAGTGCACCCGTCAGAGAAGTATACCTGCATTAACGCGCGAAAAATTCGAGCTGTAGAAATCACAGTCCATAATGTTTTGTAAATGCGATCATTAAAACTCCCAGAGTATAGGTGTATAATAACCATTTTTGATATCTTCTTTTGCCCTATACATTTTACTAATAGCTATTTCAAGTTACTTAAGCCATAATCTTTATATGTGTGTGTGTGTGGGGGGGGGGGGGGGTGTACACACACTCACATGCCAACAGCCAGGCATTTCTAAGACATGAGTGTCCCGACGAGGAAATTGCGAGCACTCAGAGTTGTCACAGCTGGTAGTCCTAACCACCTTCTTATGCATTTTTGAAGCTGGTATTCGCAATCTTACTACAAACAAGGTCTCTTACAGAAGGCCTGACCTGCCCGCAGACGTGGGATGGATTGATGTGCTGGAGGGCAACGCCAGCGGGAACAGTGGCCCGAGTGCAGTGCCCGAGTTATGTCTTCGGCTTCAATGCAGCAGGTTTGTGAACTTTTCCTCGTTCTTTCACCTTTAGTGGCGCAATTACAGTGTAGGCTGTGCTTGCTAGCCGACATCTCAGTGTAAGCAAATCAGCATGGTGCTGAACCAATATGTTTTGGTTCTGAAGCTTAAAGCATCGTGTATTTTGTGTTCATACAGTAAATTGTGGTGATCCGAAAACGTTCGAAATGCATCTAAGAATTCCAGCGCAAGTAATATTGTGTCATGCTTGTTTACACGCTCCGTAGAAGAGCGTTCTTATTGTGTCGCAACACAGGCGCACTGAATGGTACGCCAATCAGCTAGTGGACTAATTCTAATAATTGAGGCATGTTTACAAAAAAAACAAAAGAGGGCCGGTGTGGGGGGGGGGGGGGGGACCATACGCTTAGCCTTTAGGAGCTGAACGCGGTACCAATATTCTGTTCATAGCTTATACTTAGTGTATGACAGCGTATGAAATCTTTTCGTACTCGCTATGCGCACTACGTGACCTTAAGGGCGCAAAAACGTGCGTACCTTCTGTATTGGCTGACTGACATTAAACTATGAAATCATTATGATAATCCCATGTTCTGACGCCCGATGGCAACGCATAGTCGCGATGTTTTTGAGAGTGAAAACGGGATCGCGTGGCTTTCAGAGCTCCCAGCGCTGATAATTGGCGGCAGGGAGAAGCGTCGCTCATGCGCAGTGCGACTGGGCTTTGAGAATTACGCCATCGCACGCAGTGCATCAGGCGAGCTAGCGCGTGTCGTCTGCCGCGCGCGCACGGCAGCAGAGAAGACGTGTGAGTCAACGTGGCAAGAACGTTGAACGTCCATTTATGCTCCACCCGATTCACAAAACGCTCAGTAGAATTGATCATAGAGGCTTCGGGGGGAGTATAGTTTCAACAGAGCGCCACTTTTGTGTGTGTGTGTGGTACGCCCTGGTTGATACTTTATTTGAGCACGTTGTTTCCGGGAACAAAGTTGTCCGTGATAAGCAGGTCTTTTGGCTTCCCCCTTTACAATACGTTGTATACTGGTGGAGCTGCCGGATATCTCCCAAGTCTTTATGTCACAAGACAGCGGACTCTAGTACACCATGCTCTTAGAATAACCTAGGGCGGAGCTAATTTGTACGTATTCAATTCAAAGAGGGAGGGTGTGCAAACACTCACGTCATTAGGAAGTCGGGACACTCCCTTCTTGCATCCATCTTAATTATCACGTCTTGCCTCTTTAGCAACAATGCACAATCCGCTGTCTCCGATGACACAAGGCAGCACTAACGGGTGATCGATGACGACGAACCAAGTGACATTATCGGGTGCCAATCACGCATCCCTGTGTCCTTCCGTTCGAAGATGTAGAGGACTCGTGGGAACACTTCGAGTGGGGCGCAGATATACAAAAGCAGCTGGGGCTAGACACGTGCACTTCGAGTTGGAAGGTATACAGCATACAACTGGTATAGCTGGAGCGAAAACCACGATGCGAAGCTTGATAATCGTATGGTGGTTTTGGCACGTAAAACCTCAGTTGTTTCTTACTGCCACGAGTCGATGACGCTAATGAGATGCTAGGCTTTGCACTGTTGTTGCCATGTTTTCTTGTTCTCGTAATAACATCACAGATTTGCTGCAACATCATAAAAGTCATTAAACTTCTCAACAGGTGACCGTGCAACGTCGTACATTTGTTTGCGCTCAAATACATGCATGTTTGTCTGCCAATCATGAAATTTGCTTCGTATATGAAGCTGTGTGTCACTTCAACTACGGCAACAAACACAGACTTTATGTTGTGAAGCAAGAGGACATTTTGGGTGCCCTCTACACTGAAAAAAGGTTCCCTCACACATGATCGGAAAGGCAAAGGCGGGCAAGCCTAAGGGCCAGTTTGGAACGACCTACAAATACGATCGACTTTAAGACCGCTGATCACCTTGTGTAAGCTCTGCAGGTGTTTCAAATATTTTTTATTGGTTTTTCAAAATGTATATATTTTGTATTTTTTTCTTCACGAACAAGCATCACTTTTTTTGCTAATAAAGATATTCTTTATAACTTTGCACACTTCTTCCAGCAGTCATCACCATGATGACTCGGATTCTGCGTGCCGTCGAGCTTGCTTTCTGTGCCATAATATACCAGTGTCGCGCGGACACTTTGTATGGCGATCAGGACCGACATAAAGTTTGGATTGGAAGTTTTCCAAGTCGCGAGTAAAAACAAGCATGCAACTGCACCTCATACTGTCATATTCAAACCTACGATTAAATATGTCCGTGTCAGCCTTTCGGCAATGTCGGGTCCATACTTAGCACAGCAATGTCTGTCTACGCGAGAAAAAAGAAAAAAAAAGAAACGGAAACATTGCCAGGAAACAAACAACAAAAAATTGTTCTACCTCCGTACTTCGGTGCGCCTCCTCCAAGGGAAGACATGCATGAGCTGGCAGATCACGTGATCTCACTGAATATCACGCAACACAAGGCGTTGCCGGAACGCCATTAGTCGAGTCCGCTGGTGATCTCGCTTTTCCAATCGAGTGCAAGCGCGTGTTTCAAATGTATCGGTGGCTTTACAAATTAATGTTTGAAACTGGGCTAGTTGGCAATGCATCTTCAATCAGCGCAAACCTTGCCTTGTCTCTTGTCCGTTTCTACGCTTATCGTTGAAGAGGCTTTACAAATCTAAGTTATAGCGCTAGCCAATCTCACACAAAGAAAGGTAGGCTAGTTTATGTCTCAAACATGTTTTAATTGGAGGCCATCTCTGGACATATTCCAAATGTGGACGTATCGGTCCCTCGAAAGGCTCCACGAAAGCAAGGGCAATTTAAGAGCAAGTCCTTCTAGCGCGGCAGCAGGCGCCAGCTGTGGTCCAAAGATAGAGTCAGAGCCAAGATTGATTGATTTCTGGGGTTTAATGTCCCAAAACCACCATATGATTATGAGAGACGCCGTAGTGGAGGGCTCCGGAAATTTCGAACACCTGGGGTTCTTTAACGTGCACCCAAATCTGAGCACACGGGCCTACAACATTTCCGCCTCCATCGGAAATGCAGCCGCCGCAGCCGGCATTTGAACCCGCGACCTGCGGGTCAGCAGCCGAGTACCTTAGCCACTAGACCACCGCGGCGGGGCGAGTCAGAGCCAAGAGTTGATGCCGGAAGAAAAAAAGTACATTATCAATAAAAGCATTACAGTCACCGCACGTACATGCGCGCTTGGACGCTTACAATATAACATAACCCGAAAACAGTTGGGAACAATTAATCGATTGTGCTCAGACACTAGCCAGGGTACTCGAGTAGGTTAAAAAATTGCTTTGCTCGTCCGACTTTGCTCGTTCAGCTGAGCTTTGAGCTCCCGTAAACGCACTCGCACATGCACTCACGATGACTATAGCGCAGACGAGCGGTTCCCCCTTCGGCAGTGAGCGACCTCGTATCGGAGGCGTAGCCAGCAATTTTTTCATTGTTGTTTTGGTGAAGGGAAGGAGGAGGGTAGGAACCTTCTTGTTTTCTGGGGAAGAGGCAACTCTTTGAGATGGTCATTCTTTCGCTCTGTATACCATAGCGGAAAAAAAATTCGGGGGGAGGAGGGTTTGACCCAGGTGTGCCACCTTTTTGGCTACGCCACCACTTCATGTCACTTCATTGTCGGCATCTGGGAGACCTCTGTTTTCTAAAACTATCTACAGTGACCGCACGGCGCCGTATTATAGCACTTTTTTTTTCCAGAGCGAGTGACTGAGGGCACTAAATCGTAAAACTGCACTTATCAGGGACGGTATGCGCAGGGACTTTTCCCTTCTCGGGGGAAATTTTCAGCCGTGGTTTTGTACAAAGGGGAAAGGAGTATATTTGCCATGTTGCAAGTAATTTCACGAGGGGTTAAAATCACGGATGACGACCGATTCATAGCGGGCACAGTGCGCCTGCAGCTTCTTCAATCGGTTCTGTGGCGCGCTGCATACACGCTTAGCCGTTGAACTTTGTTGCTGATATGTACGTGAAGCGATTTCTAGTTCACTCCTGGTGCTAGACCAACACCACCAAGACTGCAGAGGGTGTTGGATTCCAAGTCTACTGTGTGATATGTACTGAAAGCGTGTAAGTTAAGAGATTCGTTTTTATTATTTATTTATTATTTATTTATTGATACTGTTAGCCAAAGGCCGTTACAGGGTGAAGTAAAGAAATACACTTCACTTGTTGACACAAGCACTACAAAATGAAATCAAGAAAGACAACACAACAGGCAGTTTTTAACAGAGGACCAATCCAACAGGTAAGGTAATTAAGCTTTACACAGTAGTGATCAACGATTGGCATGGTAGCATAACTTCATACAACACACTTGACGAAGGCTATATCATATACATCACAAACTTCAGCGTCGTAGGAACTTTTCCTACCAACGTAACGTGCAGTTATAGAAAAATGTACAAAAAAGGGAACATCTACAGGTAGAAGAGATGAGGTAACAACGCCTAGATATGGTTACCTAGAGGAGTAATATGCCATTACCGTCTTTTCAAATTCCTCTGTAGAATTCATTTGAGTTATGCTATCGGGTAGTGCATTCCATTCTTGAATCGTTTTATTGCGATAGCAATTATATGGACAGTCGTGGCTGAATTTTGCCGTAATCGTCGCCATCATCGCTGGAGCAGTCATTATTCATGCATATGCATATGTATTATAATGTAAATGCGAGGTCAAAAGCGGTAGCAGCGTCGGTACAGAAGCAGCAAGAGCAAGCCGAGTATACGGGTAGCGTCGCAGCAGCAACCAGGCAGTCCCAGCTCGCGCCTCGCGCCGTGTCAATGTCGCGGCGGTAGTAGGCATTCCTCTGCACTACATATTGTCACGGGGTCGTGACGTGGCCGAAGACAGGAGACTTCATGTTGGGATTTAACTGTTTATTTGGGCGAACCTGTGCCCGGTAAACGGAAAGTCCAATTACAGCAGCAGTCTCGCACAGATAGCAGTCTCGGACTGATA